TATATTTTATCTGATACGGTGATATTTGATAACAATGGTCAATGATAAACGGTATAATGACGTCATGAACGGTGAAACATTATTTCTGCATTCTGCTACTGCCTACTTTACCATTTGTTTGGGTAGTTTGGGTTTGGGCTCTAAACTTCGAAGCGCTAGTGTAGGCAGTGTAGCCTGAAATCATAATTTTGACTTTCTATATCTTGTATTCGTATGGTATATACAATTCATCCTAACATTCCTAACGTAGTAACGTCTAACTTGCGGGCCCTTTCCCAGGTACATGCTGTACATAAAAGTATTGTAGAATTACGTTTCGTTTTATAAAATTCAGCGACCGAAATGGGTTTATGAGGTCTAGGTACAACGATTCTTTTAAACTCACGAATCTTGTTTTCGTTCAGCAATTATCATATTAACTAAACTATTATTAAATAAATTAGTATAGATCGTTGTGTACATAATTTGACATAAAAACTAGATTAAAATAAGTTATTTCGGTTTTTTTTTTTCATCTAAAATATGTCTCAAATAAAGGTAAGCTATGATTTTATTTATTAATAATTTTTGATTTTCTATTATTGTTTATACTTTTTGCTTGGAAAAATTTTTATTGAGACTGCTATCCTATTATTCACTGTGTTCTCGTAACAAAATACTCGCTCATTAGATAATAATAACTTGCGTTGTGTTGCAATTTTATTTACATGATCTAATAATTTAYTTATTTTGAATGTACATAATAAAAATCATTAATACTTTTCATACATCATACATGTTATTTGTTTCACTTAAAAATAATATTAAACTTAAGTTACTTTCATAAATATAAAAGAAAACTATCAACCGATTATTTTAGACTGATAAGACAATAATACGATTTGAAGAAAAATGGCCAGAAATGAGACCCATTGTAATTAAACTATTACAACAAGAACCAGTAACTCAAAATGAATGGCAAAATTTATTTTATGCAGTTCACCTTGTATGTCTATGGGATGAACAAGGACCAATAAAAATGAGACAATTCCTAAAAACTGACATTATGGAATTCATAAAAAAAGCTCAACAAGTAAAATGTTTTTAAGCTATCTTAATGTTAAATTGTAATTTGAATTTATTTTGATAAAATGAAAAATAATTGCTCAAGATATTGTATTAAAAAAATATTATACTACTACTTTTATATTTTAATACTACCTAATGTAAATATTTTTGCTAATTATATTTTGTATTATTTTATTATTAAGAGAGTTATGGCCCATCAAGAAGATCAAGCTCTACTTAAAGCTTATATCACTGAGTGGAGAAAATTTTTTACTCAGTGTAATTATCTTCCAACACCTTTTAGACAACTAGAAAATTCTCTAACTGGAAAATCATCAATTGGTTTAAAAAAATGCAATGCTGATAAAGATTCTGTTGTCCGAAAGGTAAAGCTGATACTTCATGTAGTATATTGTATTTTAAACAAATTTATTTTGTGGTGGGTAAATTTAATATGTTACACAATTTTCCTTAGTTATATAATATGTCATTAAATTATTTTGAAGATGCAGTATTTTAAATAAATATTTTTCACTTAAAAATCGTAATTTATTGTATTAAATATTCGTTTCTATTCAGTTGATGTTAGACAGTTGGAATCAAAGTATTTTTAATGATATAAAACAGCGACTTCAAGATTCAGCAATGAAACTTGTTTATTTAGAGCGAAATGGAGAGGCATTCGACTCTCAATTAGTTATAGGAGTAAGAGAATCATATGGTGAGTGGGCTTACATTTTTGCTTTAATTCAATTTATTCTAAATAGAATAAAATTTATGTTTTAGTAAATCTATGCTCAAATTATGATGATAAGCTTCAAATATACAGAGATTATTTTGAACGAGCATACATTGAAACTACAGAAGCATTTTATAAAGCAAAAGCTCCTGAATATTTAGAGCTCCATGGTGTTCAAAATTATATGCGATACGCTGATGTGAAACTTCGAGAAGAAGAAGCTCGTGCTCAAAAATATTTAGAAACTAATAGTGGTTCTGTCCAAATGGTATAATAATTTGGTTTAATTTTAAATCAATACTATTGTTAATGATAAAAATAACATTGATTTTTAGTTGACAGATTGTTGTGTGCTGGTGTTGGTTTCTAATTTCCGCCATACTATTTTAGCTGAATGTACGGATATGATTAAAAGRAATGATACTGAAAGTATATTATAATCAATATTAACTAATAACCAATTTGAATTTGTTCTTATTTTATTTTTTATTCCAGAATTAACACTTTTATTTAAACTAATGGACCGAGTACCTGATGGAATTTTAAAGATGTTAAAAGATTTAGAAGATTATATTGTAAGTGCAGGCTTAGCAGACATGATGGCATCTGCAGATATCATAACTCAGGTAAAATTAACATTTTCATTAGTATGATCAATGGTTTTAATCTTATCAATATTTTAGAATTTTAATTTTAATAAATTTATTTGATTATAGGATTCCGAAAAGTATGTGGAACAACTTCTTCTATTGTTTCATAAATTTAGTAATTTAGTACAAGAAGSATTTAATGAYGACCCAAGGTTTTTAACTGCAAGAGATAAAGCATACAAACAAGTAGTTAATGATACTACTGTATTTCGATTAGAATTACCTACAAAACAAGTTAGTGATTTAATATTATTCTTAAACAATCCTCGACCTGATTAGTTATGACCTCCTTGGTGGGTTGCCCACACATAATATTGATCATGAATGATTTTTAAATGCAAAATTTAATTTTTTTGGAAAATACCACTAAAAAATTATTAAGGATCACTTATATATTATTATATTCTAATGTTTATGAAGTAAATTAATAAATATCAAATAATATTTAAATAAGCTACCATTTGTAAACAAAAATTTCCATCATAAATCTCAAAATGTCTATTTGAGCATCTTCTGGGGTTAGGCCCATCACTGTATAACTCAGCCCATCTTCTGCCCATAGGTCTAATATATCTATATACCAAATTTTATCGCAACCTGTCCAGCCTATTAGGAATGAATAAAGGACAGACAAAAATCCATTTATATTGTAAATACATATAGATTAACTTAGTCAACTTAAACTTAAATCATTAGTATTTACAATATAAATTAATCAATTTTTGTTAAGAATGTCAGGCTCAGCAGATCACGTTTATCTCTGTTAGCTTAAAATTTAATATTAATCGACCTCTTATAAAAATTAAAGGTAACATTATCATCTAAGACTTCTCATTAGTTTTTTATTATATTTTAATTTTAAAATGAGTTATGAGTATTTAAAAATATACAAACAATTTACAATTTTAAAATACTCATAACTCACTTTAAAATTAAAATATAATAAAAAGCCTATAAGAAGCCTTAGATAATAATGTGACCTTTAATTTTTATAAGAGGTCGATTAATTCAAAATTTTAAGCTAACAGAGCTAGATGTGATCTGCTGAGCGTAAAATTTACTTTGATATGGGTCTTCTTAATGTGAATCCACTTTAATACCTATTGTACATGACATGTACCTACAATAATCTAATTTGATATCTTAATGTTAAAATTTATTAGGATAAAGGCCATAGTAACCATGTAAATACGAGTTATTTTTAGTGGTTTTTACACATTTGACTTTTGTTTGTGTAACATTGATTTGATGTCTAGGACATTTACAGTTTAGGTGCTGGATTTTAATGCTCACTAAGAGCAGTATGAAGTTGGAATTAATACACTTAGAGTTTTCAAATTTTCAAAGTTAAAAATGTATAATAACTATTAAASATAACTGTATTAAATGATTTTAATTATTGCTGTATCAAATTTTTTTAGAATTCTGCAGTTAAGTGTCAGCCTGAATCAAAATGTCCAGAATTATTAGCAAATTATTGTGATATGTTATTAAGAAAAACCCCTTTAAGCAAGAGATTAACTGCTGATGAGATTGAAAGTAAATTGAAAGATGTGGTATGTATGAAATTTAAACTACTCTTTGTTAAATTTTCTAGTAATATTTATGTTGGTTTTAGCTACTTGTGTTGAAATATGTTCAAAATAAAGATGTATTTATGAGGTTTCACAAAGCACATTTAACTCGTAGATTAATATTAGATACTTCAGCTGATTCTGAAAAAGAAGAAAACATGGTTGAATGGTACTACTCGTAAAATAATACGTTAGAGATTTATATTTAATTCATTCATGTTTTTATAGGCTAAGGGAAGTTGGTATGCCCGCAGATTATGTAAATAAGCTAGCTAGAATGTTCCAAGATATTAAAGTTAGTGAAGACTTAAATCAACAATTTAAAGAAACTTACAGAAATCTTAAAGGAAGCATTGCAGGTAATTAATTTGTATCAGGCTGAAAATGATATTTTAAGAACAAAAAATATAGCTCAACATCTAACATATATATGGATTACKTATATCTCTAGCTTAAGTTACAAAATTATCTAATGGGCTACATAGCATGCCAAAGATGGTTTATGTTCTTATTCACATTTGCACAGATCCTACACGGCTACACCCATACTAAATTAAAATACAGTCYATTCCTTCCAATCCATTATTGTCAGTAAATAAGTTAGAAGATGAATCCTTAACCTCTTTTTGCATAAAAGTTGATTTATTAAAATAAAAGTATGTAAATAATAAAAAATATAAATGAAAGTGTTCTGATTCATAATCAAAACTGAGCCAAACCTTATAGACATTTTGAGGATCGATTAATATTATCTTTTCACCTTGTACTAAGAAAAGATTTTTCAAAATTTGATTTTAAGAAGTTAAAATTGGCAGAAATAAATTTTTGCTTGTAAATTGTATATCTTTATACATATTGTAAGTTAATATAATAATAGCAGTTGGTCGATAACGTTTGGTGCACGTGTCCCRAGTGAATGTCAATTATTATTTATGAATATTATAATGTTATCTCATCCATAAAATATTTTACGTATTTTCATATTATTATCAAACTATATATTTTAGTAAATTTCGTCTGATCTCACAAAATATGTCTTGCGCCTGTTAATTTGATAGTAATTTTTCATTCAAATCCTGGCGTATAATATATTGAAAAAAATATTAAGATAAAATAAAAAMATAATTGTTTTCATAAATTATAATTTTAGATTCTGAACAAAGTGATGAATGTATTGATYTTACAATGATGTGTGTTTTGTTTTTTTTTGATTTTGTGTCTGTGTACAGCATAACTAGTCGAAACAATGCTTCAATTTCAAACCTTGGGGGTGGTTTCTGATGTAAAAGTGAATATCCTTGGTGCATTATAGAGGTCAAAAGTAAACATTTTTCAAAAAAATCGAGAAAAACAAAAAAAAAAATGACAGAAAAACGGGAATTTTTACGCAAAACCAGTTTTCGAACAAATCGATTTATTTATATGGTTGTAAATCAAAAACTGATCACTGTAAATACTTGAAATTTTCACCAAATG